ATAATAATAATAATAATAATAATAATAATAATAATAATAATAATAATCTATAATCTATCATTTACAATTAAATGGTTTGGGCTTACTTCCCTTTCTAATCGTCCTTATTCTTGACAGATACAGGGGTGATACTGATATAATCCATAGGTAGTTGCTCGCTCGTTTAGCAAGAAAATGTTACCATCTTTGGTCCTTCAGTGAGTAAATGCTCGCTCTCTTAGCGAGAAAATGTCAAAATTATCCTGCTAAGAGAGCGATTAGTCATCTGAAGATTATTCTAATATTACTTCAGAATCTATCAAGAAAATTTTTTTCCCTCTGATCCACCTGCCAAAATTTTTCCTCCTCTTAGCACTTTCAAAAGCCAAAGGCTTCATAAATTTAGCAAAAGGAACCAAGTCGTTTACTCGTTGATCATTAATTAAGGCTTTTATTTATTAACAGTGAACTAATTTAGTGAGTTCTAAATATCATCTTTTAAGAACCATTCTGACTGCGTTGCTAGGGACTGCAATCGCACACCACTGATTGACTAATTTCACAAATTGTTTCTTGTAATTATTTGTAGGACAAAAGTATTTGCAAGAAGAACAGGTGATCATAAAGGAGGAATCTCAATCGAGCATCGACGGTATCCTGTACAGGCACCGACAGCTTTTTGGTACAATCCCCTGATCTAAATTTTCTGACACAATGGCTGCACTAGGATTGAGCAAGATTAAAAATACTTTTTGAAAATCAAGAGCAAACGTCAAATTTTCCGTTTCGGAGTTGCTGATAATTTAACAAGATAAGACATCCGAAAGTTAGAAATAAGAAAGCTGAGATTTTGACCAAAGTATTGAATACACTAATGAACAGAACTGAGCGTAAACTGGGTTTCTTCCTTTAACCACAAGCATGGTAAAAGAAGTAGGTTCGGTTAGGAGTTGGAATTGTCAGTACAACCACCTATCCACTACGTATAAGATGTGCAAATCTTTTAGTAAACTGTAAATGCCACAGTTATGTTGAATGAAAATAGGCTGAATTCGGGAATGAAAAGTATACAGGAAGAAGCAAGATGAGTCAGAAGCGGCTGAGAGACTTCAAATTACGTTAGGACAGTAAACTAATCTGAAGTATAGCGTGCCGGAAAAGTAAAAAAAAAGTGGAACTGAATTAAGCGGGAAAGGAATATGAGCGAGGGAGTATGGTAACTGAGCTTTCTTTCCCAGATTCGAATTCCAGGTTTTATGTTGTGTAACAACCTCACTACATTTCAGGCGTTCTCATTCCATTCATCTTTTTCCAAACGATCTATTGGCTCCTGGCTTTTCGTTATCGCTTCTATTTCTATTTCAGGACGAAATATCTCATGTCGTTTGTTATGGTTCTGGGAGCCCTTATCGGAGGTATGACTGCTATGCTTCATCCATCGGTCTTCGCATAAGAAAGCGTGTATTTTAAAACTACTGGTATAGCTTAGGCTGCGGGCAACCAAATATATAAAAAAAGCTGTTACAGACAGAAACCGGCTATTTGCATTTACACAAGAAGTGGACACTTTCTTCTGTCAGTATGCAAGCAGCAGATTTTTCAAGCAAATTTAGAAATTTTTGGAGAAACGAATTAACTGTTATTTTTATTTTTTTAGTTAACAGTTTAGTATTGAGTTATTGATAACAAATATGAATTACAGTGGAAATGAATGTATGCAACTTCATAGACCGAAACTTTCCTTCCTAGTTTTATAATTAATACAACATATACTTTCCAAAAAGGAAATATCTTGCTTGTTGCCCCTTCTCACGTTAAAGCCCACGAAAAGCTTCGAAAATAATATAATAAACAAGTAGGACAGGAATAAAACAAAAACTAGCTGAGAAGATAAATACGGGATGAAAAAGGCACAAATGGGGCAGGAAATTGAGCTCGTAAAAGTCCGTAATGACGCTTTTTTCTGGACAGTAGTTCAGCCGGATTTTTTCATACAGGGTGTATTTCTAGCACATTATTTCTTTTCGTAACTGCCGCACTACTGGCAATAAATTTTCGTAAGAAACGAACAGAAATGACGAGTAACAACAACAGTAATAATAATATATAAAGTATGAAAATATTTTGAAAAAATAGCGGCAAACAGGAATTTTTTGGTCCGTGAAGTCATGTACATTTTTATTTAGTGCTAAAATTGGACCTCGCCGATACGGCGGTTGTGTTGTTAATATGTTTAATAATTAGCACAAATTTTTATTGCTAATATACTTGATAATTAACACAAAATTTCAAAAAATATTTACTTTCATGCTTTGATCAGAATTCACGGCACGCTCTTTCACCTTTGCAGCACTCAGTTTTCTAATTGTTTTGACCAGTGCAGCATTGGCTGGTGGTTAGCCTGCTGGCAATCCTGACGTTTATTTCGTTTCTTGAAGAGATTAGCAATTCAACGGTTTGCCTGAAAAAAAAAGCATCTTTAGCCTTTTCGAAATATTCTTGGTGTGCTATTCCTGGATTACGATTAGGTAATAAGTAACGGTCTCTGGTCAAAAATAGAAGATAGGACCTTTAAAAAAAGAATAGCATTTGCCTATTTGTGGATTGTCTGGTCAAATTTTACTACTTTTCTTCCTAAAATGTTTGGTTCTTCAGGGATGACAACCGAAGGTGGCGGAGCTGTGGCTTTTCCAGTGATGACGCTGGCGCTAAATATCACCCCAGTTGTAGCTCGCGATTTTTCATTGATGATACAGTCATGCGGTATCACAGATTCATCATTGTTTGATATTCAACAGTTTCATTTTCCACAAAATTCAAAAGTTCGGAAAACTTTGTCAAATCTTGCGGTGTTTTTTTACGAATGTAAAAGTTGGCTTCAGTGCACTTCAGGTCTAAGCGCTGCCTCATTTACAATATTTTTCACTGGAATCCTTGTCGAGTGGCATTCTGTTTTATTCTCAACAGCCGGTGCAATTTTTGGAGTAATTTTCGGTATCCAGGTCGCTTCTGTTGCTTACTTTCAAAAACGCTAGTTTGGCTAATTTTCTTGACAAAATCCGTTGCAGTATCGCTTTTCAAGCAATGACTGCCTATTTCCCTTCTCTCAAACTCAAATTTCTTTCAGCTCTTCTCATTTACCTTCCTGCCCCTCTTTGCTGAGCATATTCCGGAACGGCAAGGGCAACAGGCAATTATTTGCTAGACAAATCAAACATTGCAAGAATACGCTGAACACTTAAAAGTTTCTTTTCTACTTTATTCGCATTTGTGAATTTTCAAAAATGTGGACTAAAATAAGAAAATCTTAAAAATTTCACTCCTGGTAATGAAGCCTTTGGAATTATTTATTTGTTAGCTATTAATTTTTCTTTTACAATAAAAGTAAAAAAACGCTTTCGAAGCTTACTTACGAGCGAGTTGATGGCAGAATATCTCAACACCACCAGTGGAACAACTAATCTCTTCCCTTTTAAGCAGATGCGCAAAACTCGCTTTCTTAAATCCCAAGGTAGAAGAAATTTCTGGACCAAGATCCAGACTTTGAACGATGTGCATGTTTCATCAATAACTTGTGCAGGATTTTAGGTTGTGGATCCACTGTTGACGGCGGCTGAAAAAAAGATGGCATTTGTTTCGGTGTTTTTCTCGTTCGCTCTCTCCCTGTTCATTTTGAACTCTGAAAAGAAACGTGTAACCTTCAGCAGGATTCAGCAATTCACGGGCTTCAAGGCGCTTATCCTGACAGCCAATGGATTTGTTGGAGGCATGTAATATTGTGAATTATCTTTACAAGTTGATATTCTGAAATAGCTTCAGTTCACAGCTTGATTCTCTCCAACTTTTCCAGTTGATTTGAACAATGTTGTATTGGCTGATAACGCCTGGAGTTTATTTTGGCTCTATCTCTCATCCAAGTCATATGACCCGCTCGGCTTTTTGCTTAGCATATATTTCCTGAAATTACATCCTTCACACCAGAACGTATTCACAGAATATCGCTGCTAATTATGCTGTAGTTTGCTGATATGCAACATTCGCTTTTCCACTGATAGCTAGTGTCACTGGTTTACTATTTTCATCCGCAGGAGTAATCCTCCACATTTCGCATCCATCAAATACATTGATAAATTAGGTTTGATGTTAAAACAACTTCTACAAAACTCAAATAGCTTAAGGCGCTATCTTAGAGAAAGAATTGTTGAATATTATTTTTCACACATGTTTTAGGAATTTTCACAGGCGTTGCGGGTTCTGGTATCGATGTCTATTCATTCTCTATACTCACACTACTTTTTCGGATCACCGAAAAAGTAGCTACGCCGACGTCCGTTGTGCTGATGGCTGCAAATAGTATGGTCGGATTCTTCTGGAGGCATTTTATGCAGAACGCCATCCAGCAGGTCACTCTTCTCCGTCTGCTTTTTTTACTTTTCTTTTTTCACATCCTTTTTTTTGAGAGGCAGAGCTACAGCACTGAGTGCTGTAATGATTTGCCTTCATTTGTGAGTTTTATTTATTTTCGACAAAAAAGTGATTACTGCTTCTCATAAGCAGTCCGCAAATGAGATGAATTATTCTCGAAAAGAGAGTACTTTCAGGAATCCTGGGAATATTTTGCTGTATGCTTACCCATTGTGGTAATTTTTGCGCCGGTTGGTAGTTTCATTGCATCATATTTACATCGACTCACGCTCGCTACGCTTATTTACATCCTAGAAACAGTAGCTTTGGTGTGTTTTCTTGGAAATGCACGGTTTCATTTTCAACCTTTTCACAAAGAATAAAGAACGAAGGTTCCCAACTAAGCATTTGCTGTTAATATTTGATTTAATGGATATCTTAGTTCAAAACGACTAGCTCTAACCTCAAGAAAGATTACTTAACTGGGAAACTGAAGATATTTCACAAATTCAAATCTTTGAGAAATAAAATCAGCGAGTCCGAAAAAATAGCCATCGTATCCAGACAAATCTGCTGCAGGTCCAAAAACCAGGTATAGATCCAGCTGCGGCACTGAAAAGGAATGTATGTGCTTTAGTGGACTGAAACATCCCTCTCCAGTTATGTTTCATTCGCCTTTGACTATATTTACCATATCTTTTTACAAGTTATTTCTATAGTAAATACTTTCTCTTAGCTATAAAACATATAATTAACTACTCCTTTATTCTCCTGTACTACTGCTAGCCAACCACTATCCAAAATATCATTTTTATGTGTTTTGCTAATTTATACAGGCGAAAAACGCATATTGACGAGAAGTTGTCTGTACGTATATATATATATACTTGCATTCCGTCACCTACTTTTAACTCCGCAACCGATGAAGCTAGGAAGTTGAAATTTCTAGATCACGTTCCCACCCCATGCGCAATGCTCGCTGTCTAAAATCAACGCTCTTCTACACCTAGATCTCAAGCATGGACTCATTAAAAAACTTGTACAAGTTTTTTTAGAGGGGAAGCGATTTCGAGAACCAGGCGAGCTAGGAAACTGAAACTTCACAGAGATATTCTGTGCCCTTATAAGAGCTGAAGATTTTAAATTCAGCTCAAAGGCACGAGAAAATAATGTGCACAGATATGTCAAATTTGTGATTTCGTAAGTTGACAAAACGCTAACTCGGGAACTAGATAGAGTATGTTCTTCTTATTTTGCGAGAATATTTACTATATGTGTGTAAGTCCGTGCGCATGAAAAAAGCATTCGTTTATACCTGCATTACGTGCAGGAACTTGTCAAACCATTTTTAGGGGAAAAGCTTGAAATTCATCTTAAACAAGTCCGGATTTCGAGTATAAGCAGGTGACAATTCCAGTAGGAGCAATGGTAGCATCCATGTATTTATTATCTGAACCATTTATGCTCACATAACGTAACCGATGACTACTTTCCCGTATATTCCGAATTTTTAGTCACACTCTAATGCCTTCGTAATATGCGACCCAGTGATGCATTTATATTCCGCACCGTAGCTTGCCCTTTTGCACGCTTACCATTATGGTGCAGACAAGTCCAGGCACAAAATCCTGCCTTATCCGTGGCCTAGCTTTCTGTATTTGTGTGTTTTGATCGCGAGAATGATATTGAGCGAAAAAGTCCACGCAAGTAGCTGGCATCCCGAATACGTTGTATGCATGCAGCCCCAAGGTGAACTTAGAACAGTAAGGTCTAATGAGTTTGGAAAGCATATTTATGTTGTTTTAGCAGATTCCGAAGATTCTGAGATACCATTTTGGCTTAATCCGAGAACTTGCTGAAGTTCAGGCAAATCATACTGAACGAAGTTGCATTTCGCAATAAATGCCAAGATTTCTTGCTACGTAAGCAAATTTCAGGTGAGTGCACTGGTGATTATTAGACCTGGCTGGCGTTTGCTGTTTGCCTCGTTTTCCCTCATCGTTGTCTCATTCCTCTTCTACTCATGCATTGGCCATTATGGAAGGAAATTAGCAGCACGGACAGTGCAGCAGCAGCAGCAGCCCGCTAAGATGAAGAAACAAAACGATTTTGATGCTATTGTTATTGCTCTACCACAGCACAGGAGACAATTGGGAAGCCCCAAATCTGAACAGACAAAACGAGTTCAGATTTACCAGCAGAATGACCAAAAGATGATGCATCAGTGGCCAAAGCAAGTGGAAAAGTTGTCAGCTGCAGATCTGAAGAATCGAATTATGAACTAATGTTTGTTTCAGACATTCCAGATAATATTATTTAATTCTACTAAATTGTAAATTGAATTTTTTTTTAAATCGAAACGTTTTTAGCGGATAAAAAAGTGTTATTTTCTGATGTTCAAAAAACTTACTAAAAGCAAGACCATGTGTCATAAACAAAATCTTAATAAAATTCTTCAAAAGTAACTCTCCTTGAAAAAAACCAACTCTGCCACTACGTGTGCCTGAGGGCTAATGGCTTAACAACGTTCAAGTTAATATATTAACTGATTTATAAGATTCGCCGCGTTATTGACTAGAGTGGAAGTTTTGCTGTAAAAATTTCTTCATATATTGTGTTAAAAACATATACTTTGATACTTTTATTCTTTGCTGTTTTGTTTTTCATTGTCGCGTTCCTTCTCACCACTGTTGTAGCTGGCAGCTTCGCCATTCTTCCTTACTTTGTGCTTCTCTTATCCACATAAATACTACAAAAGTGTTTGAACAGGGCCTTAGACCGCACTGGCGGCCTTTCCTTTGTTCTTAACAATGTGTGGATGCTGTTGAGTTAATCCACTTAATTTACTAAAAATATTTGCTCTTTTTCCAATGTAGTTGTGCATTTTGGCAACCGATAAAAATCGCCACTCGCTTATCCTCTGTTCTAAAAAAAGCAGTCTTAAATTCTGACCTAAAAAAAAAATGAGTTTTTCAATTATTCACAGACAGGTGGAGAAATCACTGAAGTGTAAACTGAGGATGTCGCTATAGTATAATTTATCGGCGATGTCGCTATAGTATAATTTACAACAATCTAGCCATTCATTCTTTCATCGATGCAGCTGCCCGACGAACATCTGTCACCATGGCAATAGTGCTTGCGAATGAATATACCTGTATGGATGCCGATACGTTGGGCCTAAAGCAGGCTGTCATTGATAAGCTACGACGTAATGGAACTTTGGATCGAATTCAGGTCTGTTCCATGTATCAGCTGTTGAACTCATTGAATTAATTTCAGTTTTAATGGTCCCCCTTTTTTGCCCATTAGTACACCTTTGCTGCGCGCTCATTCAAATCGTAAAAGCCACAATCTGCAAGCATTCAAACTTACTAAAGAAAAAAATTAACACAAAAAAAAAAACACTCCTGTAGCTACCCTCTATTTATTGGAAGGTTTCATAACCGTAGTGGATCAGAATAAATGAAAGAGACGTAAATGGAGGTCTAAATTTTACTTAAAAGGCCAATTTAGGAAGAGGAAAGGGATGGAAAAAAGCGAATATTTCTACTCTTTTAGAAAAGTTCATTATTACTTTCTTTTACTGACTAGAGTGGAGGTTTTGCTGTAAAAATTTCTTATTTTGTGTTAGAAACATATATTCTAACGAGTTTTAATATTTTCATTGACAGAACTAATGTTTATTGAAAAATAGCAGCTTTTTTCTCTGCTAAAAAAGGAGTGTTTTTTCACAAGTTATTAAATTACTGCAAATTGCTCTGGTTAGACAAACAAGCTGCTACACGAGCGCAACATAGGTGCTCAAGTACTACTCATGACTGGTAATCAAGTACGAAGGCATATGTGCTTGGAATGCCCACAAAGATTGTTTCGCCGGACCTAGTACTTTTGCTACTAAATTATCCTGTTTCTTACAAATATTTTCGAAAAATGTTCCAAACTCTGCTGCAAAAAAAGAGAAAAAAACTTAGCTAGACCATAATCCTATTTAAATAAGTATTTTTAACAAATATTGGTATTTTAACGTGTACAGTCCGGAAAAAAGGAGGGATTTGTATTTTTTCCCAACTATATTATCAGTGAATATGCGTCAACTGTGGCAGGCAGAACTGCGATCAGCGGTATTTTTGGCAATCGAAGGTAATGGAGCTGCAGGAGAAGTGGCCGCTGGTCAGATCGATACGGGCCCCGGTTTTTCGATTATTTATCATTACCTAAGGCAAAATCGATTCCTTGCAACAGCTGCAGTTTTCGAAAAGGAAATACGTCAGGTAATTTTTTACACAAACCATGACAGTAATTAGAAGAAACGTGTCCACGTTGACATTATGTTGCTAACAATTGTCCTGGAAATGTGAATCAACAGCGTTTTTTCCAGAAACTCTTCAGGTAACATCACTAACATGGAACCTATCACAGCGATTCAGCAGGCGGCTGTGTTTTTGATTGGTTCCGCGATATCCCTTAAAAAGCCTTTGCACACTCGTTCCTTATCTTTCTCCTTCTCAATAATAATATTTATAGGCGCTGCTGAAGCCAACACAACGTTCTCATAAAGTGTTCTAGATTCACTGAAACAAATTTGCATGGCGTAACAAATCCTCATCGTTAGGAATTAAGGAATTCATCAATCCCATATCACGGTCAAAGACTCTGTGAGACAGAGATTCTCGGAAAATGCGTTTACCACAATAATTCTTTAAACCTGTTTCTTCCCTGTACCTTTTACGGATTTTCCGAGTGCTCTTGATAACTTTAGTTTTGCTTCCTTAGTTAACAGACCATGGACAATATGGGCTGATAAGTGGTACTCACGATGAAAAATAACAGATAAAGCAACCACTACAGAGATTTTGTTCCAGCTGGGAGCACAGAGGGGTACGGGAAGTAGGACAAGAAGAATGAGAATAACTGGATTTGGCCTGTGAACACATCTTAGCAAAATCAGAAGCTCAGCGCTGCTGTTCCGAGTGTACCAGTTAGTTGTTTCTGGCGCTCGTTAGCAGCAGTTTCTACATATGGGGCGGAAACCAGTGTAACTCAGTTTATGCTAGCATTTACAAAGAGGTCGAGATAATTTGCTAAACCTTTCGCCTCAGTCCTTTCTGCCACCCCGAAAGCTTACCACAAGTTACCATCAACATATCTAAAAAAAAGAGATTAGTTTCAAAGTATGGTGCGCTACTCATCAAAATACTTGGAAGAGCTGTTAAACCGATTCTAGCAACCAAATGACCCTCGAAGCCTAAATGGCAAAGGGGCGAAAGATTATAGCATGAAACAACAGTATTAGAAAAGAAGGTAAGACTGAGATAAAACGTTTCGGTCCATTAATTCATATACATCTTAACACCGCAACAGGACCTCGTCAGTGTGACGATAGCGGTGCTTGACGAAAAAGGAAAAGAAAAAGACGACAGGAAAAATAGAACGGGAAACAATGTGATTGCGAGATTAGGAGGAGCAAGAGGGAAAGGAAAAGAAAGGAGGAAGAAAAGGATTTTAAGAGAGAAGTTTTTTTTTTTGAAAAAAGTTGTTCAGAAAAAAGGTTTTTTATACGTTTATAAAATATATAACTGGCAACTTTCCAGTTAGTTATGCACTTGTATTTGTTTACTGTTTGCGATTTTCCATGATCTGATGTTAGTGCTCGTGCCGGGAAAACCATCTGTGGCTAGGCATGTCCTTCTAAATTAGATTGTATGCTTAAATTAATGGAAAAAAAGCAAAACAATAATTTATCGAAGGGTCTGAAAGTTGCTTTCTACTTCAAGGATGCCAAGACATTTAGGGCAGAGGGAATCAGGAGGATAAATTCATCCAACCAGATGCAAAATTCGTTTTCGGGACGCTAATTTTTTTCAGAAAATTATTCCATTGGAAGAACTAAAAGACAATGATTCCTGCACATTACGGTTCGCCGGAAAGAGTATTTCCTTAACGTCTACGCTATTACCAATAAAAGTGAGTGCTGAAGAGCCTCGTCGAATTACAAATGTACAGGAACATGAAAATGGTTTTGACTGGGAAAGAAATGACCGGACATCACGAGAAATGGACGAAAAACGCAGTGATCAAAAGAATTCGGACTGGCATTCTGGAAAAAGCATAAGGGAATACAGCGATTTGAGGGCTGCTGAGAAGACTGCACTGCCTAGCCAACAACACAAAGAAGATATTCCCAAAATCGCAAATCTGGTGCATCTTTCGGGTAGCAGCAGCATTTCCAGTATGGAATCTGGAACTGTAAGCAGGTACTACTAAGCACCACCTTGTTGCATACTTATTACTCGAAAATCCATTAGTGAAAAAATCGGGGAACAAAATGGAAATATTCGGATGTGTATTTTTGAAAACTGACGCATTTCTATAAATCGCACAGGATTTGAAACTGACTCAATTCTCGGCTGGTTTCCAAATTTTAAAAAATTTGCTCCTTTTCAGTTTTTCTTCCTCTCCGAAAGCAAACCACGCATACTTCTACAGCTGTCCCAGCTCTACATCTTCAGGAACACGGGGGCTGCTCAGTATCTTAAAACGTTATCGAGTATTACAATGCTAGAATCAGCTTTTAATTTATCAACAGGTTCAGCACCAGTGTCAGAACTTGAAACCTCAGGCTGCAATTTCAATTCTGGGGCAAACTTTGAAATACAGATTGCAGGCTTTACAAGAACCTGAGCTATCCGCAGATTTAGGAATTCAACATGATCAGAATGTGATCTTGCAAATAAGTTAGAGGACTGTACAACTGATAATGTAGATTCAAAATTTTAAATGGTTTTGTCGATATTTTTATATTCTATTCACCGATATTTATATTCAATATTGTCGTTTATTGTCGGTATTTATTGACAGTAAAACTGTCGATATTTATCGATATTCAAAATTTTGTCGATATATTATGGACAAAATTAATGAGCTGATGCAGCACGGATCACATCACATTTTCAAAGATTGACAGACTAGTAATCAAAGTTTTGAATTTACATTATCTCTGTCTGTTCCTCTGATTGACATGGACTAGATGAATGGATGGCGAGTAAAGTAAGGAAGAGTGAGGAAACGTGCTGTATGTTTAATTATGAGCTTACAAAAAACGCATAATAACAGCCTATTCGAGTTTTTACAATTGATGCAATAATCAGAATTGTCGAATTTATGTGAAACTCACTTTCCCTATTTTGAAATATTCTGCATGCAGTGTTTCCAATACATTTGGGTGTTACATCCAATATTTTTGTTCTCATTCAATATTTTTAGCATGGCAAAGCGAGGAAGAATGCAAAGCAACTCAAATTCCGAATCCTCGAAAACACCGACGTCTTCGAATTCACAGCAAGTGCGGGAAACATCGAA